ACATGTAAACCCATGATATTCAAACAAGTAAACAGCCACATTGCCCACATAAACTTCCTCACTGCAAGACTTTTATAATCTTATCTGCATGTTTCAACATCCCAAGACTATTTACATGTAATATTTAATATGCTACACAGTTCAGTAATGTGTTTTCAAGTGGGCAGAATGACAACATGAAGGTTGGCGTTCACTTCCATGACTGAGGGTGTAGAAAAGGTGTTACAGATATTTACAGATGCCGAAGTTAATGCCGCTACACATTGTCCCACCTTTTAGCCTCCTGTCATCTTCGGGAGAACATTAAAAAGACCCTAAAAAGAACTGTTTTCTGGTTTTAGTCAGGTGGTACCTGAGTGTAGAGTGCTTAACACAAAAGCAGTGTTCCTGAACACAGGGACTGCTGGCTCTCCAGTCTTCTGAATATGGGGATTGTGAAGCTGATCTTTTTTTGCGAAGTGTTGGAGATCTACTGATGTGAGACATTATTAATGAAAGAAACTTGTAACACAGCCTTTTTCTTCCTGTTTTCATGTCCTGTAACTCATAACAAGCAGACAAAAAATATGTAACAAAACTAAATAGCACAAGAGGTGGAAGCTGGACTGCCTTAGAAATACGGACAGTCTAATGCTTATGGAAATCTGGGGTCACTGCGGAGACACCAGTGCAGTTGTGATGGCTGCAGATTCAAATCCAAGAAATACTACTTTTTTTGCCTCTCTGTGTGCTAGGAAAATTTCAGTCTATTTGTACCTACCAGTTAATATTTTACCCAAAGAAGGTACCTTTAATCCTTTAAACAGTTCTCTTATAAAGATATTAAGGCAATGGCACACCTAAATTGTGACACTTAGTCATGATCACAAGAACACATGAGATGTCAGCAGATGCTTCAGATAGTTCTGCTGCTTCCTATGTGAATTTATAAACCATCGTAATAATAATCCTAGCTCAACAACAGTAACTCTAGCTCAATTCATGTTCTTACGGGGCAAACTTATCCTTTTCTTCTGAATAGTCAAAGTTCTGCTGTGGAAGGCAATAAACTGTAGGAACTAGGTGGGACACATCAGCTGTATGGCAGATGAGAAAAGTTAAGCTACCAAGCAATAGATGCTTCCAAAGGGACAGTTGCTAGGAGAAGATCCTCAGGGACTTGACCCAGACAGCAACTGTGCCAGAAGGGAACCATACACATCCTGTATACAGAATTTATGTCCAACCCAGCAACTTCTGAATGTAGCCATACTTATCTTTTGCTGACCCCATCATGCCTAATTTAATTATTGCGCCCTGTAGAGATAAGAATTGTCTTCCTTGTTTTCCTAAACAAGATAACATCAGAATTGCAATTTGGCAGGGCTCACTGGTAAGTTCACTGTGTTGCCACATGGAAAATTAGCCAGTAGAACAACAACAAAACCAAACCCTTTTCAGTCAGCAAATAAATGGGTATCAGGACAAACAGAAGGAAGGATGTGTGACTGTGACCCAGCTTCTTACCCTAATTGGGCGTTTTGAAAGCCAGCTGGAGAGATAGAAGATGTAGGTGTACCTAGGGGCTTTTCTCCATCCCTTTCTGGACAGTCTGCTCAGTCCTTCCTATCTATCTGGGCAATAATGAAACAAATGTTTTAAAGAGGCAGTGCTGCACACCGCAAAGGTGTACATGATACACTAAAATGAACTCATGATCTTGTCTCAGGTTAATGATACCTAAAAATAATACCCTTTTTCTACCTTGGAGTAATATAAATCATTTTTCCATTTATATGATTGTTCAGTTCATAGAATAGATATATATTCCTGTTCCTGATAAAATCTATACATTACGTTCAGTAATATTCAGGAATGTAAAGATAGTAATATCCTCCTACAGAGAGTAAATTTACTTGTTCTTCCTAAAGGCAAATGAGCTACAGCCAAAATGAATAGGGATGTGATTTATTCCTTCCCATTAGCAGCTCTTCACTTCTGAAATCTTCAGATCTAGTACTTTCTGGCCTCTGTTAAGGGGTGTCAAGCTATTCTGCTGTGCTGCAATGCCCTTTGGAATCACAGGATGTTCTTAGGCTGTCATGATGCAGCTCTAATCTACACCAGAGTACAAATCAGGACCAACCTTGAGACAGTGGTGGCACCGTACCTCTCCTCCCAGTCTGTGCATCCAGCTCTCTAATAGCCCACTGAATCTCTGGAATTCATTTTTCTTAGGTCTGGGACACCAAAGTTCAGAAAGTTCAGTCTTATGGATGAGCCATGTTCTAATAGCAGCAGCTGGTCACAGAGAAATCTGCAGCTGGATTCAAGGTACCCTGAATTATGGAGTTATTGATCGCATTGAACAGGAATTCAGGCTTGTATTTTTCAAAGATCACAATCCAGTGCTTGCTGCCTGATTTGGGGCATGAAAGGTTGATTTGCAAAGGTGTCCAGGCAAGCCTGCCACAGCAGCATATGTTGGGTAAGCATTGTGTGTGCTCATTGCCTGTTCTTTAAGAATGTAGACATATAAAGCTAAATTTTCCAAATGGCATATAAATTACATATGTAAGTTATATTTTAGAAAAACAGAAGTTATTACGAGTATTTTGAGATTTTACTACCAAAACTGAGCTGGTTTTAAGGGGTTCAATTTCAGGAGTGGTGATCACCACCTTAAAGGTTCCCTTATAGAATCTCAGAGTAGGCCAGTATAATTTTTTTGACACCTATTAACTTTTTCAGCATTATATACAAAATAAGCTTTGGATTTCTTTCACCTCAACAGCTTCAACTTGCAAAACAACAACAAAAAATTAACAAAACTTGAAGGATCCATTTGAAAACCATGAATAAATCATTCATTGTTGTCTTTTTGATGTTTTACGTAGCTTCTCTGAAGAAACCTCCTGATGGCCACCATCTGTTGTAACTCCTAAGGGCAAGTTAGGACTCTGCAAGAGATCTGCAGGGCCCCCTAAAACAGTTCTGAGAAAAATGAAAGACTTATTCCAGCAGAGGCAAGAGAGTTCACAAACAAAGGCGTTATTCATAGCTTTATCGCAGCTTGGAGTGAGGGTGTGAAAATATTGAGAAAGCTTTGTCACTGATTTCTAGTTAAAGCTTGCAAAACACAATTGCTTTGCAAGCCTTGTTTTAGCTGGTAATATATTTTAGTTTAAGTCACTGGTACATAACACGTGCTTGTAGGGTGGTTGCTACACCAGCTTTTCAGGTGGACAGCTGTAACTGAACAAAGATTAACAGGTCTTGGCTATATGCAAAGGGCTCACAGTTCCTTAAAAACAATGCTCATATGAAGAATTCTGTTTTGTGAGTCTGCTCCAGTTCTTCAGAACAATGCAAAAGGCAAACAAAAACCAGCAAATGAATGGTTTTGGTGTATCCAAAATCTGTGTAACTGACATTATGCCTGACACATCCCTGAAGTTTCTGGAGTGGCTTTAAAATACGTGTTAGGGGTCAGTTACACTCCCATGGGCAGCCACAACAGGAGAACTCAGTGTAATTGCCAGCCACCCCCTTGAGACAATGAGAGAGCTTGTGTTAAGCACTTCCAGGGCTGCTTTTCCACACATGTAAAATGAGGTTATACAACAGGGTGCACCAGTTTGTCTCCTGCACACTAGTATAGGTGACTAATTAAGTAACTTCTGAATTATTTAAATTATTTACATTTAGCAAGATGCACAAAAGCAAATAGCAGGGATAAAAAACCACCAACACCACCACCCCTGCCCCACTATACTGCGGAGCTTCCGTGCAGATTTGTGGAGTGAGAAAACCATGTTTAAAAAATGTCTTTCTGCTGAGGAAGAATGCAAAAGGCATGTTCCTAGAAAATAGTAAATTCAAGGAACGCTGTTTATTTGTAATCAAGCCATTTTTCACTTGTGGATGAAAAAGGCTTTCAGGAATCTTCTCTCTTCTTGAGGACCCTAGCTGCTAATTTTGATACTTTTAAAACAGTATTTTCTTTCCTGTAAATGCTTTTTTTTCCCATGTGGTAAACAAACTAAACTGACTGCTTTACTGGCACTAAAATACATGAAGTCAACAAACTGCAAAAGAGAGAAACTGTCTTTCTTCCATTCCCCATCTGCTGCAGGCAGCTGAAGAGTTACTTATAGCAACCGTGGATTAGGAAGAAAAATCACATTGCTGTAGAAACTGCCAACAGTAGACTCACTTGGAGAGCTTGGCATTATTTGTAGACATTTCCAAACATTATTTGTTCTTTTTTAGGGCCCGTTTCAAAATCCGTCAAAGCCAGAGACAAGACTTCCTTTAATTTCAATGGCTTTGGAGCAGATTCACAGCAGATAGCCTGTGGCACCTCCAGCTCCAGCATTTTTAGCACTGTGTTTATGTAGTCAAATTTCCAGTTGCAGAGAGACAACTGGACGACGCTACAGAATCCACTCATCACAAATGTGAGCCAACAGCACCTACTGGATAGTGATGCATAGTCTGCATCACCAGGATTGATACAGTTAAGTACAATCTCCTTCATCACACCTGTATTCTCAGGAACAGGCTGTTTCTCATATCTAAAAGGACAAAATGGGAGGGCTGGCTGCCAGCTTCTGCAAAGCCTGGCAAGTCAGCATGGCCCAAGAAGAAGCAAGGACCCTGAAGGAAGTATCGTGAAAACGTACAGTGGCCAACAAACTGAAGAGCAGCTGCCCTCACCCTGACTTTTGCAATAGCTTCAATATGAAACAGTTGGGTTGGGGGCTCCCAAACTGCAGCCAGTGAAGTTTTGCATGCAGGCCAAAAGGGACTCCTTGTTTGCAGACATCCTCAGCAGAACCAGCTGATAATCACAGTTATATGGTCTCTTCCAGGAAGGGGATGGGTGTCTGGGCACTGACTGGGCCATATGCATCAGCTAATTAGAGTATGGATCGGCCTTCTCCAGAGTCGGGAAATCCAGTCTGAATATTCCCATCTAAGCAGTGCCATATACCCTTTGTGTTAATCAGTCAGAAATAATGTGGGATCTGCTCCAAGTGTTCCATGGTTCTGTAGCTGAGGTAAGTCTTGATTTTCAAGTGCAGTAGGAAAAGAAACATGCCTCCACCAGAGTGCCTTTTCTTCTCCTTTCCTCTACTTCCCACAATTGTCCTACCCATTAAACAATTATGAACTGTATCTTGAAAACCCTGATCTTAGTTCTGCTTTATTTCTGAGCAAAATGACTGAACCGAAGGTCCAGAAAGGATTTAGGATTGAGAAACACTCTTAAATGCTCACTGGATGCAGCACACATACTTTAATTTGCAAGAAAGCTTTGGAGTTAGAGCTGCCTGGCATACTGTTCAATATGTGCATTACCTTCAGCTCAACAGTGCAGTGCAGGTGGCATTTCTGCAATGCGGGAATTCGACCAAACATCTCTGCTTCCTGCATCAATGTGATTCAGTTGCTGGCTCACTGATCCGTGTCTAAATATAAGTGCATGTTCTTTCAGTGTCAGGTTATGGTGGTATAAATTAATAATAATTGCATAGAATTCAACTGAGTTAATGCCAAGCACAGGAGGATTGCAATAGCTAAAGGCACTTATTTGTACTGACCCTTGTTTGTACTGTATTTCTGCTCACCCAATGGCCTTGTAAACCTGATGGGTATATTTTGTAAGGAAGTTCAGAGGCTGGGCTGGCTTCCCAAAGTCCATCGTCAGCCTTTGGAATGTGCACATAAGACTCCCAAGCAGTTGTGATTATTGCGATTCTAAACCACTGTTTTAACTTCTGGCCTTCTCTTCTACTTCCTAGCAGGTATAAAAACTGTAGTTCTATATAGTTAAGAGCTTAGCTTTCAAGGGAATGCTTTTAAGACATCTAATTTGGGGTGTGGAATTCTAACCAGACACAACACTTCAAAATGATGCTTACTTGGGACAGCACAGATTAACCTGTGTACGTGTAAAAAGGTGGACAGGACATGATACAGTAATTGTAGACATTGCATTAGCATCCAAAAGAAGCACCTAAATAATAAGTATTAAAAATAAAGCAATCCAAAACTATCAAACATATCTAGAGGAACACTGTGTTTTCCCATCTCATAATTCCTCGTGTTTCTCATTTTCCTGATTCTCCCCTCATTCTTACTATTTTATCTCTTTGTTGGTGTTGTAAAGGTCTCAGCTTTAATGTTCACACAATGAGGCCTTTGATGTAGGAGCTTTATCTCACTTTCCCATGTGTCTAACAGCAGCATGTGTCAACTTTACCTTTTCAGCTCATGAGAAAAGCAATACTCTAATCAATGTCTTCTTTTTAAACTCACTTCACATGGAATGAGACATTTATACAATAGACCTCACAATGGCCATTGCAATGACTTATCATCAACACCTCTGTGTATTCTCAGACACAATCACCATTATATGTTAGAAGCAATCTGTTTGATGTTCTATTGCTCCTGTTGTTGCAAACAGCAAAGAGGAAGGAGAAATGCTGATGACGTGACATCTCAAGAAGGCAGCAAAAAGAGAAGTGATGGGACAAGCAAGACGAGTGCCATGCAAGGCACTGTGCTGAGAATGTGGCTTGGGATCACAGTTCTGATTTCTCTTGCTCTGTGTTTGGCTGTGGAGGAAGCAACTTCTGATGAAGGAACCCCTTGCTCAAAGTACCAGGTAGCTTTCAACCGCTCATGCTATGAGTTTGTCAGACTCCAACGTACCTTTGCAAGTGCCCAGAGCTGGTGTGAGAGAAGAGGAGGGCACCTGGTCTTTATTGAAAATGAGGAAACTCAAGAGTTCTTACAAAAACATATTGCTGAGGATCAGGAATGGTGGATAGGACTGACCTCAGACTCCTTGCTGAACGAAACTTCTGACGGTAGGTGATTTGGAAATCGTGTCTTCTTTAAAAATGCATGAGCCCATGATGCTTACTTCTCCTGGTAACAAATGCGATTAGTCCCTCTGTAGACACCTGCTGAAAAGCCACTGTGTTTTGGTTTTGTGACTTCAGATTTGTATTAAGATGGTTTTAATTGCCTGCTTCACTTCCCAGTTGCATGTTTTCACCCTTTCCATTGGATCTTGTGGTCGTGTGAACACATGGTGCATCAGATCAGTTTGCTGAGTTAGTGAATAAAATGTGCTGTGTTAGGTCTCAAGGGGAAGAACAAGCTGAGCCAATTTATCACACTAGGAAGTGCTGCAAGATCTGATGCAAAGGAAATGGTGGAATCTTGTGGCTGGGAGCACAGGGAGAAGTGGTGGTGGCTCCTGTAATGATTACATTCAGTTAAAATGTAGTTGAAGATTCCTACACACACTAAACCACCTCTGCTTCAGTAGGAGCTGGGCTACAGTCCTGCTCTGCAGGTTCTGACTCTGTAATTGTATTAAATGTGGGAAATAAACATTCAGGACATGCTTACTTTGTTCACAGGGTCAATGATTTGGCTGGACACTTCAATTATAAGCTACAGTAACTGGTACAAGGATCAGCCATCTCCCTTCTCATCCACATGTGGGTACATCCTGAAGAATGCCAAGTATCAGTGGGGTGTGGCTGAAAACTGCAGCCAGGAATTCGACTTCATTTGTGAGTTTGGTAAGATACACAACAGCTGGATCTGAGAAGTGAACATGCCGTGTTCCATACTATGCATAAATTGCCTTCTTGCTTTAAGGGTGTCTGCACAATAACTAAAATCAAGCTTATTAAAAGTGTACAAGCAAAAAGCCATATAACCCCAGCAGGTGCTCTTTTTGCAGTGTGCTGGTGTAAGATCTGGTACAAAGAAAGGAAGAACCCTGAATTCACCAGGAGATGTAGGTGCTTGGCAACTAGCCATTAAGGTCCAGGTTTCCAGCAGAGGGCTAGTAGAATAGAAACTGATTTGAGAGTGGATCTAAATGTGTAGCAGTCCATGCCTGTAGTGGACATAATCCAGCTAGCTTAAACCAGTTTGAGAGCAAGCTTTCCTTGTTTCTTCTCAGACCCTTCCACCAGGTGAAGTCTAGGGGCTTCCCCAGGATAAGGAAGAGGAGAGAAACCTGTACTTCCTGGTGGATAATCTGCAGACCCCTTTGTCCCTTAAATTGTGACCTGGAGCAAACAGTCCTGGAAAGGAATACCGGCAATATCGTCCCATTCAACATGTAGATACAAGGGAAATCAGTGCTCCCCACACTTTGCTCATAAGCCAAGTGTTTTAAACTGTAACTAGAACTAAGGTCATAAGCACTGGAAGGACAGTCTGGCTGCAGGCTCACTCATACAAAAGCCTTCGAATCCGGTACACAAGTACAGGTTTCCACAAGCCCTAGAACTGCTACTGCCCTTGTGCAGTACTGTGCTGCTTCTGATGTAATTAACACATCATTCCACCAACAGCAAAGCTAATAATGTTTGGGTTTCTGTCCTGATTTTCTGTTCTACATCCCCTCCCTCCCCTTCTCCTTCAGCACTCCCATGGGAGTCAATCCCACATCCCCAGCATGTCCCACCTCTGCAAACATTTCTCACTCTCGCAGTTCCCTCCCCAGCAGTTCTGTGGCTGCTCCAGAGCTCCAGCTATATGTGCTAGCAGTTGAATCCCACATTGTGGAACAGACAGACACTGGGATGTAATACCAACTCCTATTAGAGGCACTGACGTGACTCCCTCTAATACCTACCTATTGATTTTCGTTAAATTTTAGGGTGTTTACAGCTATATGTCAAACTTGGCTGCAGATGACTAACATTAAAAATAATGGGGGAGAAGAAACTGGCAGACAGCACAATTCCTGAAGCTTATTTTCCTTGCAAAAACAGACTAAAATTGTTTTTCCATTACAACCATGGTAGACAACTGTCTGTTTGTAAGGAAACTGTCATCTGTTACCATAGGATCTGACTCCAAGCCCATAAAATTCAAAGAGTGTTTGCATTATTGAGCAACCATGTCCTACACTACATCCATCATTCCATTACCCAGGAAACCAAGAACAGAGTGAGGCAATTATAGCCTTGTTTTCAGTATCTACAGCCCATGGCCACTAATACACATACAGATTTTAATAACAGGGTAGACTCTCTTAACAGCTCTGCATGCAAGGAATTAGATCAAATATCCAAAAGAAACAGGGACAATATTTCCATTAGTTTCTCTAGGTGTGGAAGGCATGGAAGTTCCACAAACAGACATAGTGATCTTTAACACCTTCATGCACAGCTTGATTCACATCAACATGCAGTTTGAAACTTCAAATGAAATGTATAGGTAGCTCCAAATGGTACCGCTGTTTTAATTTATTATCTCTGATTTCTGATAACTTATCATCGTGATCATCTGACAGAGGTATGTGTGCAACCAACCTGTGTTCTGTCTTCATCTTTTCTTCGGCCACTGTCTTAGCACTGTTTGTGCTTCTCAGTGCATATAAAAACTTCTGTTATTATTATTTCTTACCATTTCTATTCTACCGTTTGGTGCTTTGTAGGTTAGCAATTTGTTGTAGTAAAAATACACATATCAAACCAGGGTTCGTACTTAGGAACACAGACCAAGTTCTATACATTTTTCCATGTAAAAGCTGTTGAGACAGCAAATATGATGAGAACACTTCACAAAGCAAAGAACAAAAAAATGCTTGAGATGATAGTCTGTATGAGAATTGAACAGCAAATTACTTTTTAAGCTTATTTAGAAAGCTCTAATCTGTAAACTAATCATGTTGCTATAGTTACAGCCAGGCTTAGATTTAGCCTTTGAATAACAATAGCACACAATTGCTGCAGTGTGCACACATTGGCACTGGTAATCAAGGTTCTTAAGAGGAATGATCACAACAGCAACTGCAGGACAATGTTTAAACCTGAGGCAGCTGAAACAAAAACATGATACTCCCATACGAGAGCAGCCTTTCGCATCCTCCTCTGCAGGGTATTAAGTATCCTGATTACTGCAGGAAACTAAGAATTCTGAAAGATAATTAACTGTCCCAGATTAATCAAAGAATGAGGTGTATGCATTTAGAGATATGACCTTACTCTTTCAACCAGGTGTGCTGAATGAAGTCAGTCAAATATCACACAGGAACAAAGATGTCTCTGTAGCAGAAATGGGATCACGTCCCATACTTAATATGAAAACTATTCTCCAGAGCAATTACCTCAATATCTCACTGCCACAAGGCTCCTTTGGAAGTAAGGAATAACTAAAACTTCCAGTACTGCAGGTCAAACAAATTATAAGTGTTTTCCACGAATAAGATGTATATTTTTTATTAAAAATGTTGTCTTTTTTGTTTAAAGCAGTAAAAAAAGAAAAGACTAGATCTACTACTTTGGATTTTAAGAAATAAAAAATATTTTATTTTTTGTTCTTTTTTATTATTTTCTTCTGTTTAGCTTAAAAGGGAGAAAAGGGAAAAGAAAAATAAACAAAAATTAGCATTTGCAGAAGAATTGTAGCAGGATTTTTTGGAAATTCAAAAGGCTAAATCTGCTCTTCTTTTCCCCTGTTAGAGTCTGGCCAGAGCATTGCTTGTGATAATTACAATGCCACTGTACAGTGTGGGTCAGGAGAAGTTATTCAAATTGGAGAGAGCTTCTATGGACGGAAGACCCCCCACTACTGTGTATCGGAGACTCCTCTCCAGTATGATGCAGATGAAGACTGTAGCTGGATCAGTGTCAAAGATGAAGTAGCAGGTACTATGTTAGGATATTGCTTGCCAGAAGCATACACTAAGTGTCAAAGCCCCTGGCCCCTATAATACTTTATTTTGTATCTATCACAGTAGAGTTAGTAAATGGGAAAGTGGATTATTCCTAAACTGAAGAGAATTGCAGAGAACTTCTGACATGGAGGAGATTCCCACAGGAGGCTGGAGAGAAAGGAGGGACTTTGTGAGGACCAAAGATTCAGGGGAGGAGAAGGGGAGCAAATGGAGAACAAGAGTGGACCTGTTTCCTCTCACTGTGTGTAGAAAACGTGTGTACGCTCATTCCCTGACGAACACAGTGGGAGGCCCTAGGTTTGACAGACATGGAAGAGGATACATCCATGCAAACCCAACTCCAAACCAGGAGGCGTGAAAATGCTGGCACCCATGGAGACACGAGAGCAGGAGGGATCTGCTGCTGCTACCTTGTGTTGAGTAGGCAGCTTGTTGCAGCTACAGGGCTCTGCTGTTGGCATGACTATGGCCTGTCCCTATGGTGATTCTTTGGGCTTTCAGCCAAAATTAAACAAAACACATAACTTCTTTTACCCTCTCAGCTTTATTCCAATAAAGTGGAATGGTGCTAAGAAATACCAGGCAATAAGGAACACACAGAAGTCACAGTCATACTGGGAGCCTGTCTAGAAATCAGTGCCATGATATTGCTCCCCTGCCCCTTTTTGTTTCTGTAATCATCTCTCATCTGAGCTGTTCTGACAAAGACAAAACTCACTAGTTCATATAAAATGGTCCTTCTTCCCAGGCCAGTGTCATGGTCTTCAGGCCTGCCAGGTGGCAGCAGATGGCACTTTCTTTGGAGATCCTTGTCCAGCTTCCAGAAGCTATTTGTCCGTTCAATATCACTGCAAGGAAGGTAAGAGGGCTATTAACCCCAAAAGCCTGTTTTGCTTTATGCTGCAACAGTGTGACCATTAATACTTACCTTAAAAATAACTGCTCCATCCTCAAGGAAGGACCTGGAGGAGCAGTGACCACTAAAAATAGGCACAAATGTGCAGCTTCCCTGTCCTAACTGAGGGGTTTTGATAGGATACAAAGACAGGAAATTCAGTCACATAAAACACACTTAAATGAAATTATGTTCAGAAAGAAGAGTCTTGATCAGTAGGTATGGAAAAGAATCAGCTCCATACCACTAAAACACTCAAATTAGCAGCATCGACGCTGCTTTGGTGAAGCCTGCTCTCAATAAATGAAAATGATTAATTCTGTAAGAAATGTAGACAAACAATGGCATTGAATGTTTGCATTATGTGTTACAGGTCTGCAGCTGATTGTAACAGACACATGCTTTGTCTTCGAAAATATCACAGTTAGTTTGACCTGGCTGCTCTCTCCATACTCTGGCAACCTTTCCTGCATCATTAGCACTGGGGATGGACACACCATTGATCCTTACTACCCTCTAACGTAAGATACACCCTTCCTGTGTCATCAAAGAAAGAGTAAAATTTCACTGCTTGCATTTTATTGAACGCTCCAAGTTTCTTAAATGGGGTGTCAAAAATTAAGTAGATTGATAATAGACCTTACATACAAGACATTTGGATTCTGCAGAAACTTGTTTTGAAATTAACACAGAATTATAGGTCAAGCTGCCAACCGTAATCTTTCTTCTGCTTATTATGACAAGTGATTCCTGTTTCTTACTAAGAGAATCTATCCTAGATCCTAAGACAAAAAATTACTGAAAACGTGTGCGTAATTGCCAAAGAAACAAGAAAACATTAATTTCTTAAGTTAAAAGAGTATTTTTTTCATAATATTTAACATAATGCAATGGCATTCTAGAGTTTTCTTTTGCATAAAAATTGTGCCTTTAAAAGAACGAACGTTTTTCTGCCCAATTTAAATTCAGGTTTTGTCCTAGTGCTAGGAATGACAGAGAATGGCTCTAGAAATTCATCTGTCTGCTAATGAAATCCTACTCAACTCAACTAGGAAAGTAAGAGTAGAAGAATGAAAACCAGAAAGTAGTAACATACTTGGAACATTTAAAATAAACATTCCTTCAGAGCTGCAGACATGGGCTTGTAGCTGTAAAGAACTCGAAAAAACCTCTTTGTTAGTGAGCCTTTACATAAAATACATTTACTAGCTGTAAGCAGAGGCTTGTTGTTTTTATTGGAAGCCCTTTTACCTGCGGAGTCGCTCACAGTCATGCTTATTTGTTTTCCGTGTCCAGTTTGATATCCGCTTTTACAGGAATTGCCTTTTCTGGTCTGATCTTGTCATTGGCATGCTTTTGAAGTGCAGTCAGAATGAAACCTTTTTCTTTATTAAAACAGCTAATCAAAAATAGGTATTATCGAGGATGATACGTCCTGATCTTTTTTGCATTTGATAGGTGGTACCATGATAAGATTGTGAAGAGTTCAGAGAGAATAGTGTCAGGAATATTGCTTATTTGCCTTCCACGGTGTATGTCCTTCAAGAAGGACATCCTTAGGTCCTTTTCACCATCTCCCTATGCTTGTTAGTAATGATAGCAACTACCACAGACTTCACATCATTCATCTCCTATTGCTATCACAACCAGAGCTGCATCGGGCCCAGGAGCGAAAGAGACATTTTTGTTGTCTTTTCATGGGCAAGTGTAGAAGTAGCTGCAAATAAAAAAATTAAAAAGCAAGGGAGTGCTCTGACAAATGCAGCTTGCACTGATATGTCTAAGAGACAGTAAATAGGAAATAAAATACAGAGAATTAAGAGCATCCCTGGCAGTCTTCAAGGCCAGGCTGGACAGAGCCTTGGGCAACATTGTCTTGTGTGAAGTGTCCTGCCCATGGCAGGGGGTTGGAACTGGATGATCTTACGGTTCTTTCCAACCCAAACCTGCCTGTGATTCTATGATTCTGTATTCTAATGTGCATAGTCACATGTCTGTGCTCAGAGCCAAGTCACAAACCAGATCTAATGCCACATGTTACTGAACCGTAACCCACCTACTTTACAACACAGTCTACCTACCCTTATAGATATGCTTTGAGAATGACCACCCCTGATACTCAACCTTAATGACACTATAGCTGGAACAAAGCAGCATTCTTCAATCCTAAAAATTCTACATAAATAGATGAAAGATTACAGAGAGAGATCCAAGTCAGAAACTTGGGAACTGTGACCACTGTTATCACCTAAGGCTAAGGACCCCCCAGGACAGTTTTCCACCGCAAGCAGCTGTTCTCTTTCTATTCTAGGCTGGTCAGCAACGTCACATACAGATATTCATCTCCTGGAGAGTTCACTGTCTTTGTGGAATGCACCACCAGTGAATGGCATGTGATGGCGCAGAAGCGGGTGACTGTTCAAGATAAGATGGATCAACTAAGCATTACTGGGTGCTACAGCCAGTATGAATCTGGGAACAGCTCTCACTGCAGTACACTGTATGGGGAGTTGTTGTGGATTCAAGTTGAACTCAGTGGAGGTGAGAGTAATTATCTGCATGAGGTAAATGCCAGAATAAACATTACGCCACCCATGGGATAGAAGCAGGATTTTCATTATGCAGAACAATGCTTCCTTTTAGTGAATGATTTCCCTCTAATTGTCATATTCCTGCAACTGCATGCTCTCAGCTCCATTGGAGGGGTTCTTCCTCAGGGCTATTACACCACCTCAACTATAGGTATAAGCCCTTTCTCCCTCTATGCAGAGCCGACAAAGCATGAGCATAACTTTAGTCACACAAATCCACATGAAGCCAGTAAGAATATTTCCATTTTGAAGATAGGAATCCACAGAATTGCTTCTCTCTGAGGGTATAAGGAGTCCACACTGAGCTGGTCACACTCGCTGGTGTACATTTCGTTCCCAGAATCCACATACATATGATTCAGCAGTGTGTGTTTGAATTCTCTTGACTGCCCTAAGACTCCCAGCAGAAAACACAACAGACTTCCGTAGGGAGTCTAAAGGGGCACAAAAGCACTTGAAGTGACTTTATCAAAAATGACTGCATTGCTGCAATGTTCCTGGGACTCCTTTACAATACTGAACACTGCACAATCCAGCAGCCTGTTACACAAACTGTGAGAAATCTGAACTGTCTTTTTGCAGGCAGTGGAGTGACCTACATTATACTGGCAGATAACATGACACTCACTCAATCCAGTGCAAAGGAAGGAGTTATGCCTCACAATCTGACACTCGACAGCACCTCTCAAGAGCTGCTAGGCCCAGGGATACATCAGCTGGAAATCAAAGCATCCAGCAACACAACCGCATCGGAGATCTCTGAGAGCATCACTGTTCACCTCATTGAGCCAGTATCTGGTCTTCAGGCTGCAGTAGTTTCTCACACTCTGCAGCTGGGGGAGGATTTGGAGGTGAATGTCTCTGTGTCTCATGGTGCCCCAGATAAGCTGAAGTTTGAGGTGATTGGATCTAATGAAACTCACTGTCACAAAGAAGATGGTCCTCACAGGGGACCTAGGACGTACATCATTCCCATGCGCTCTGAAGGTACAGCATGCTGACAGCTTCTGTATTTCTAAGACACTCACAGCTGAGTAGAGAAGTTCACATAAACAGCATCCTGGGGTAGGGGACAATAAAGTACAGCTGAATTTGGTAGCTTTTCTAACTGCTCAGACTTGGTCTGCAGAACAGTGTGAACAGCACTGTCTTACCCACTTTTGAGCAAGTAAATTAAACTGGCAAATGAGTCTGCACATGGAGACCGAAAGCAAGACTTCAACTGTTTTTTGCTGTAATAATGCATAGCGAACCAGGGTTTCTTTTTTCATAACACAACTTGATTTAAGTACAAATGATGACATTTTCCTGAATCTCAAAGAGTTTTCCTCCTGTTCCTTCATATGTGTAACTTTTTAAATTTACACACCTCTGCATTTTACACCACAGTAAATAATAATCTGAGGCTATCTCAGTAGAGCTAAAGAAAAGGGGAGCTTTTCTCTGTGTCGGTCTGTAACACTTAGTTTTTGTCGGACTTTCTTATGAATAAGCTTTTTAGTAATTTTTTCTTTCCATTATTAAGAAATCAAAGTGTTTAAAATGTGGATTAAGGAGATTGTCCTTAAGAGTTAATTCACTGGCAGAAGATAAAAAAGTTTCCTCCTCTAATGAACTATTCAAATCCCATGCCAAAGCTGGAACACTAAAGCTATTTATAATTTCATTTTATGTTCTAAAATTATTTAATATTGAAAGTGTTACTGGGTGTCCCTATACCCATTTGAACATCCCTTCCCTTCAGGCAGAAATATTAAACAAGGCAGCTGCTCTCTCAAGCTGCCTAAATTCATTTGGACTGCCATATTTGCACATCCCTAGTCTCCTGTGTGGTGATATCATAGCTAGCTGACAAAGAATAGCATTGCAAGTCCTAGGACAAAGGCAGCTGTGTTATTAAAAAGCTGAGATAAAGAGAAATAACATTCCTTGAAAAGCCTTTCAGCAGTGGAAACTCATCACGAAAGCCCCAAAGCTATTATCAGAAAAGAATAGGATTTTCTTTAGGAATTGGATTTTATATCCCAAACATGACGGGCTGGTCCCACTGCTATTCTTAACTGGCTGTTTGTCTTCTGTAGGTACTTTCCTAGTGAAAGTGGTGGCCATCAACGCCTTCTCAAACATGAGTCTGGATCTCGGGTTCATCACTGTGTTGGCAAACAGTTCTCATAAAAAAGGTAATTGCATTAATCTGGCAGTGCTGGGTTTGACCACGTAAGTGTCTTTTTGCAATCAGAACATATCACAGAGTGTTTATGGTTTGCATCTAGTAATTGCTTTCCTTCTAGCAACAGTGCTGAAAACATTTGCGGAGGCTTCTTCCTGATGAAGGCAGATTCTCTGGCTTTGAAGTAGTCATAAATCATCATCACTCTGAATATGTTACACATTGCACATTTGTTGTTTGTCCTAGAAATAATTAGTGAAGTTTACAGCTTGGGACATAGCTCTGAAACCAGGAAATATTTGCATCACAGCAGTTTCATAAATTACTGTCAGTAAATGCTTCTAGATGGCTCACCCTTGTATTTACAAAACAGATTATACCAGTAATAAAGTGACTTTAGTACTAATCTCACTGAGACTTCCCTCATTTTTAATTTGTACATCTATGAAACTCCATCATATGAACTTGTGTTTATTTACACCGTTATGTTTGAAGAATCAGGATCATCTTTTTTATACTATATGACTAGCTTGTTTTTGCAATTTTACCTATTGTAACTAGTCTGCTTATCACAGTTCTAGAGTCTGATTCTTACAGCACATCTTTCAGACTGCCAGTCATCAAATCCTGTGTATTTAAGTCATATTCACTGAGGATGTCCGAAAGCTTTACAGGTACCACTAAAATATTTGGCTCTTTTTTGTATTCAGCAGATTCCGCTAAGGAGGAAGGCATCTCTGAAGCAAACATCCAAAAGACAAATGTAAGCATTATTTCCAGATCTTTCTTTAAAATTGAAATGCTTAGAAGTTTTTCTTACCACTAAAAGTGCTGCATAAGATACTGCAAAGAATTATCTGTAGCATACTCGATTATGGACTAGACTTGCTATGCCCCATATGGTTTAACATAAAATCTACACCAAAAGCCTCTGAGACAAATGTGTTTACAGGCATTCAATCTACAATTCATAGCAGAGTGCAAGTACTAATTACAAGATTAGAGAAAATGAACTCTTCACAATCATTCAGTTTTAAAAGTTGCAATGTGCTTACATGAATGTCTTTAATTATCTCCTTGACTAAAGCAAACCTGCCTTTGAGGGGCTATCCTTCAAGCAGAGTTTAATATATTAATATACTGTTTCTAAGTGTTTTCTGCTTCTGTGTTGGAATGTTTAAGTTACTTTGCAAAGAAGAAATTTCCAATTTATGTCAAACTGAGAAACTAATGATACACCAATTGCTAGCAGCTGCAAAGATTTAATAAAATTACTGAATGGAATATTTTGTTCTCATAAAGGTCTAGTTTTTAAGTGTAACACTAGCAGATAGATGTCTGCTACAGGAGACGTGCTGCTTCACAGATTGCCTGTAATAACATATTGCATCAGAGACGTATCAGTCTAATTCAGAACTAAGTTCATCACAGTTGTTGCACAGAAAGACAAACTCAGCCACCTCCTTCTTCTCTTTATAGCTGTAATGTACCCAATTCAGATAAAAAAGGAATGTACTAAAAGAGGTACTGGAAGACAAGTGATTGGCCAGGGGTTAAAAGTCTTGGTCCAGAAGTGGAAAATTAAGAGGAATTAGTTTCCTAAGTACCTGCATTAGTTTTGAAATGGGAGCTGGGCTCCTGAGCCTCTTTGCATTTGGGAGTATTTTGCCACACAATTTCTCTGTGCCATCTGCTTTTATTCCCACAGCTTTTACTCCGCTTCTACATACAGGGAAATATCATTTAAGCTACAGATCTTCATACAGTGACTTGGGGTTTAACCTTTAAAACCTTTTTCATTATAAAGAAGTAAATGTGTGTTTATACACATTATACACATTATAACACATTCCTGTTCTAATTGATATTTACTTATTATTTAGGATCACAAAAGAAAAAACAAAATACATATTAGACCAAGGCGCCATGTGGATCCTTTCACAACTGTTACACTTGGCTGGCCAGACAACAACAGTAATTCCAGTTTTCTTTGGTCTTGTGGTATGTGTTTTTCCTGAGCTTTACACACCAACTTCTATTTGATGAGTAACAAACTCACTGTCATATCAGATCATATGAAAATCTGACTAAAGGATGGTTCACTTTCTGACTTTAATGTTTGCCACTCGCTGCACATGAAGAATGTCCTTCTACCTTACCCTGATTTTAACACTGAACTAATTATTCTACACGATGGATTAGTACTCATCGTCTTTTCCCAAAGGTTTCATTTTTTTAAGAGCAGTCTAAGCCCTCATCCTCATAGTCAAGAACTAGTCCCAAGTGACTTACATAGTTTGCCATTTGCAAGATACATGTGTCCCAATAAATCAGCAACAATTAGCATTAAACATGGTGCAAAAACATTTATGGCTGAAAACTAGATTGAGATTCAGGACGTTTGTGGTCAGTCCCCATATTTATCCCTGACCTAATGCATTAGGTACTCTGTACTCTGAACTCTGATTACCCACTCTTTAAACTGGGTTCAGGAAATTTGTTTGCTCCATAAATCTCTTTGAAACCTATGGCAGGGAAGTCCTTTATAAGAGTCCTGGGATGTTATGACTATTTTAATTATAAAGGAAATGTTTGTGCAGGAGTTTGCTGGCCTGCATGGAACCAATGTGTGCAGCAACAGATAATCCTAACCCACCAAAGTGAGGTGCAAATCCCACCTTCCTGCCTTCCGCCTCCAAAGTCAGCAGTGACTGTCAGGGTTACAGTCCAGAACCATGGCAATGAAGAGGGGCAGGATGAGCAATGTCTCTATGTGACTGCAAAACAAGGACTGCAACTGGAAATCAGGTCTGTTTCTAAACCCTGGTATTCACTTCTTAATACTATTACTGCACAAACACAGTGCAAGTCCACAGTTACCAATAATAATGATTATGAATTGATAATGTACTTACTGTTGTAAATCTATGTTAGGAATTATCATCATAGGAATTACAGACAAAATGGGTCTTGTTGCATTTTCCAGTCCACATCTCTGAACATAATCTCTTTATAAACTGAAAAAAGTTCTTCCCAAAACCATTTAGGGGTTTTGACCCCACTGCATCTTTCAATGTTGGATATTTCCATATTCAAACCTCAATGAAATAATGGGAATAAATGCCATAAGACATGTCCAGAGTTTGTCCTAGACACCCAGGTACACATTAGTGCCTTAAAAATATCTGTTCTTCAAGAGTCTAGTGCCTTATTAAAGAACAGTGGCAGTTCAATGATCTACTCATATAACCATTTAAGGAGCTTAAATACAGGCAGGCTTCATTTGAGAGCCTGAATCAGTTTTGTAACATAAACAGTTTGAGGGCACTGGGCCTCAGTCATGTTGAAAATGGGAGATGAAGGTTCCTAAATCTCTTGCTTTAGAATTAAGTATTTCACTTTTTGCACGTCACGTGTCATCTGTCTTGTATTGCAGGGCTTTTGCAGAGTAAAAACAATCAGCATCAAGGAGTATGACACCTCACACTGTTACCCTCTGTAATACCATCTTACTTCCTTACAGGTGTGAGGCAAACTGCAAGCCAGTGAATGCTAGTGAGGATGTTGTTTTGAGTGTCTCTGGACAGCAGGACTTCCAGGCCATATACTATAACTGGTATTTAGATAACACATTCCAAGCCAAGGTGAGAGCATCGCATTCACCAGAAATACTGCACACATTAAAACAAACATCCATCCTGAGGGAAAGCCATCAGAGTGATACGTTGTCAAATGGATGTTCTGGAAATAACAGTGAAGACTGAGACAAGGGGGTGTCTGGTTTGGGAGGGGTTATAATGATGGGCACCAAACTGCCACCCTGCTCTTGATAAATCACAACAGAAATGAGCAGAGTGTCTCTAGTGTCATGTTTTCTTTTCTTTCTGATTTTCCAGCCTATGATCCTCCCTCCAGCCTGTGGCCTGACTGGTTTCTGGCAGAACTCTTTGAATTTGCTTCAAAGCAACACATCCTTGTTGAGAATAAACAGCTCCTTCTTGCAGACACAGGGAGAAGCTTTTCAGATTAAAGTAACAGGTAAGGGCAAGCAGGGTTACTCAGACTATCTTTGAGATAGTCTCTGCTGTGGTGACACCACACTGATGTTACACACACACAGCCTCGCTGATGAATATGAAGTTAAATTAGTCCACAAGTTGAAAGGTGTTACTTTATATGTGAGTTCTTTAAAATAATTAAGAGCTAAGTTTGTTCAGGGCTATTGCACAGCAGGACAAATACAGTTGTCTTACTCCAAACTGTTAATAACTTTGCTAAGGCTCATTTGGTAACGAAGCTATGCTAAATGCTTGAACAAATAATACAGCTTTGCTTCATAATGCAAACACTACTATGTTCATAAGGAAGAAGTTCTGTACTGTGAGGGTGCTGAGGCACTGGAATGGGTTGCCCAAAGAAGTGGTGAATGCTTCATCCCTGGCAGTGTTCAAGGCCAGGTTGGACAGAGCCTTGGGTGACATGGTCTAGTGTGAGGAGGTTGGAACTGGATGATCTTAAGGTCCTTTCCAACCCAAACCGTTCTGTGATTCTATGATTCTATGTTGTTAATAGTTCTTTTCCTCTTACGGCTTATTCAGAAGTGGGATTTCACTTCTGATTAGCCCCCCCCCTGCTGTTTCTGATGCCTGCACACACAGCACCATTGCCAAGCAGGCTAGATTAATGTCTGAAGGCTGGTGCTGCTGAGGCATGACCATTGCTGATGTTCTGCTCCCTCCACTCCCAGCAATGACTCAGCATGGCTATGGGGAGGAAACGTACCTTGTCAGCACCGTGCCTCCGCCCCAGATCCCCACTTGTGCCGTGTCTCCCAAGCAGGGATCGGTGCTCACCACGTTCGCAGTCTCCTGCAGTGCTCCTTGCTTGCCAGGTTCATGCCAACCCAGTCACAACAGGCAGCTCACATACTGCTTCTACCTGAAACCAAGTAAGTCCTGAGGTGAACTGTTTGGATAACTGCTTCCCCCTCTTCCTAGCAAGACTGTTAACTATTGCAAACAAAAGCAAAGGCACAAGCTGCTCTGCTCCCAGGGACACTAACAGCAATGCAATCAGGCCTGCACAGAGCATGTCTAATGTTCCCTGTTTAAAAACAGGAGATGAATCTGTGGTATCTGGTAGGTGACCCCCTCTTTCCTGTTTCAGATTCTCTCCTGGACTGTGGCCCGGATCCTGAACTCTTCCCAGTTTTTCTTCCACTTGGAGAAGAGGAAAATGATTTCATTTTACACATGACAATTACTGTTAGCAATGTCTTTGGTGATACAGTTCAAACTAGTGCTTCAGTGAAGGTACACAGTAAGATTACTTTATTTCAAGACCTCTCAAGTAGATACCTGACCCCTGATTCACTTTTGCAGCTTCTTCCTATTTTATACATATTACTTCCTTCTGAACATGCCATAATGACCGCTTTCCTATCTGACAGAGATTATTCCCTGTGGACTCAAGGTAGTCAAAAGAATCTCCCACCGTCCTTTTGTAGAATAAAGTTTAAAAGATGATCTATTTGGACATTGGGCAGCATAAGCTATATTTAGTAAGACTGGACCTACCCTGTGTAGGCCCCAGAAGACTGCTTCTGCCCCAGTGTCCAAGTAAGGAGATCCTTATCAGGAGCTAAAACAGAACCATTAAAAACTGGGGAACACAAAGTCTTCTGCCCCACTCCAGCAAGGCTATCAGTAAGACGATCATGGAAGCAGTTCAAAGATAATTATAACAGTGTTGGCAATGTTAAGAGCATATCTGATTTCTTCACAGGTTGGACACGCAGATGTGATCGATGGCAACCTGACCCTGCAAGCTATTGTATCTGAGAAGGCCAACACCATCCTGAAAGACAGCAACAACAGCATGAGTCTTTTCCAGCTGTATAAATCAGTGACCTCTGTCCTTAACCAGGAGACCCAAGAGGAAAGCTTTAACGTATCTTTACAGACAAACACACGAAAAGAGGTCAGCCAGACCCTGGTTTTCTTGCAGTACAGTGCAATATAATGGACTCTTTATATTCTTTGACAGCTCTTAAGTAATATAAAGCTCATATATCACCACCTGATTTCAAGTTTCTAGCATCTGTCTCAGTCTTTGGCACAAGTTTCAGCTATTTTTCACTATTTGCCCACATAAATAATTCGATTTATCATCCAACAGTAAAAGAATTCATTCTCAATTCTTATTTCACTAATGTAAACTAATTTGGATGGTGTTTTAAAAGGTAAAATCAACCTGATTTTCCACAAACAATTTAAGTATTAACAAAATGGCCTCTCCTCTGGGATAAATATCCTATCTAATTTTCTCCAAAAGTACTAGGTGGCAGGTAATTTTAGTTTGTTCATTTCAGCTACCAGCTTATGTTTCAGTTACAAGCTTATTATTTGTACAGTTCTTTGAGTCCTTCGGATTGAAAGATCTAGAGAAATGCAATGTATCCTTCAATTATGATTCATTACTTGAGTAACATCAATCATGGCTCTGCTTTCTCTGGAAGTGGCATTTATAAAGTAATTCACATGCATTAGTACAAATTCTCACAAGTAAATCTCCTTGCTATTCATGGATGTTAAGCATATAAATTCTCCGTACTGGGAGGTAACTTAAATCTCATGATTACACAGTTGCTAAGGCAAGTGGCATCTTGTCAGTAGACCTAATATCAGTTCAAATGATCCTTGTTGTGGAGTCTTACTCTACCACATAATTTACAGCAAGCCTGGCTGTCAATGTACAGCACTATTCACGCAGTCCTAATTAGCATCTTATTCCTTTGCCTAATTATGCCTTTTCATCCCAAGCTCCGAGGGCTGATGCTGACAACTCTCTCTGCTGTTAATGTGACATCAATGCAGACTGCTCTTAAGATGTCAGAAGTATTGAAAGAAATCACTTACAAGAGTGAAGAGCTGTCTGTCTCAGCACAAGTAAGAAGCAATCTACCTTACATCTTCTCACAGTAACAGTATAGACTCTATTGCACCCTGCTGACCTTGGAAGAGTTTGAGTGCCTTACAATTATCTGTTCTTACCCATTTTTTTCAACTGCACCAGCATGTGCATTTTGACCAGAAGGAAATACATTTTTTCTGTTTAGAGTTAGTGAATTTATTCAGATATTGTCTCAGCAACCTCTACAATTCAAGATATAAGCATCTCACATTTTAGGATACATTTTTAAGATAGAAATCTTAACTTAGCCAGAGGCATGTTAGAATGTATGTTTTATCTTGAAGAAAAACTGTCCAGGAGTGTTTATCTACAATTGCACAGATCTGTTTGTCCCTGATCCACACACTGTCACAAAATGCATGTAGCAAGCTGTCAGTGAGGCAGGGACTTGTCAGCACCCAGAGGAACTGGGCACAGATGTTCAGATTGGCCTCATGAAAGTATTTCTTGAATGCCATGGCAACATGGCATTATTAGTAGATTATGCTATTTAGGCATAAGGAGTGAGTGAGCACATGGGAGAACAGAACAAACTGTTACCGGGGAAGTTTCCCAAATATGCTAGCAATAGGAGAAGCTGTCCTGATTTCTGATGTATTATACTGTTGCAGCCAGACAATGGCTTGGGAGCATTTCAGCAGTATGTGGTTAACTTTGGCAAGACAACAACATAGCTCAGATTCAGCACTCACCCTACAGTAAGGCTGCTAAGTGTTTGCAGACTGTGGGAATGGCTATGTTCAAGCTTGCAGTGAATTTGCTTGGCTCCCTCACCATCCTGGGCTAAAAGCTGGCCGGTGCTTTCACAATCACAAAGCAATCACTGGCTGCATTCAGACACCAAATAAAAACTGTAAAACTCATTGTCCCTTGGCACTCAGCACAGCACCAGGACAAAGGTGTTCCTTGCTGTTAATCCAGTAGCGTTTGTGAAAACTGAGATTGAAACGCACAGGCACTTGACTTTATGGTGGTAGATTTTGGATACACCACCCAAGAGTGTAACCTAATTTACATTACTGTATATCTAAACTGTATCCCTGCCCAGTGTTTGACACACAGGCTTCCTTCAGATGTTATTAATCTTGTTTATGCAATAAACCTGTAGAAGCAGACTGAATTTTTCAGGTCTGTGTTATGTTTTAGTATACCATCTAGTGTATCATCTTTATTGGTGTTTGAGGTATACACCAGTACAAATAATTACAGTAAAAACAGCGTTAGCCACAAATATTATGTGATTACCTATGTTGCAATGTTCAGTGAATGACACAAGTGTCACTTCTGTCATTTGCAGTACCAACACATGTAAACTTTTCACCTTGTTGCCCATGCAGGTAGAAGCAAGCAACACTCTGAAAGATGTCAGTGCTTCCTTGCTCACTGTAAACACAGAGGGCAGTAGAGATGATCAGAAGCTAAAGGATGCAGCCAATTACCTATTTAATGCAGTGAGCAACGTTCTTAAAGCTTCTGTAGGAAAGAGAGCTGTGAACACTTCTGTGTCAGAGGCAGAACAGGTAATTTTGCTTTGGTTCAGTTTGTAGTGGACTGTTTGTGTCAACATGTGCTTGCTCTGGAGGGTTTGTAAGACTTCTGCTGCCTCTCATACCTTTAAATTGGCACTGGGTAGGATTCCCTGTGACACCATGGTGGATTTGAATATCAAACAAAACTTCTCCCCAGTTAGTTAGACCTATTAGACTGAGGTCTGCTAACAAAGATGATAAAAGCCTCTTACAATATGTTGCATTTAAGGCTGAACAAGGCAGAGCACCAGAAAGCACAGCAGCAGTGTATGACCTCTAACGGATGACAAGCACACACAGACTTTATTCAGATCTTATTCTATACCCTTCTTTCCCCCCATAATTCAGGAAACCCACAGGTACTCAGTATTCACGATTGGCCACACTGCTTCAAAGCTGCAATCAGCTCTGGTTGCTGCTTACACTTTTCCAGGAAGCCCACTCTGTTTTCCTACTCAGAATTATGCAACATGTTTGTTTCACCCTATCCTTTCCTATCAAAATATGAATTGTCACAGTTGCCTTTCTGTGACTGGACATATTTCAACTTTCATCCCTGCAAAGGAGTAGGGCATGAAATAAGTCTAACCTGAGAGAAAAGGTTATGAACTGTTCAGACTCCCCTGGGATAACACACTAATAACACGCAATTGAATCTTGCTTCTGCAAGTAACTAAACACTAAAGTGTGCTGCTAAAGGGCATTAGTGTTCAGAAGTACATGAATATATTGAATTAAATTGATGTTGTGTTTATAGTGCTTCAAGTTTCAATGTGTAGAGGTATAAATAATAGAACATAAAAGTAAAAGCTGTAAGATATTTATATGCTGTCTGCAATGCTTTAATAAGAATTACAGAAATCAAATTGCTGATTGAAATAACTTTCTCTGAGATTAACTAGCACATCACAAAGTCTGCCAGCTTTGTAAGACACTGAACATCAGTACTTACTCCTTAAAGGGTGTAAAGGCAAATAACATGCCTCTTGATGATTCTAAAGAGCTCTGTTGCAAGTTTCATTCTCTAATCCTTTTCCAGAGTTCAGTGTCTCAGCAGCTTCTGAATACAGTTGAAAATCTGCAGAGTGCCCTCCTGTTTGGGAAGGAACCAGATGATGAACCAACAGTCCTTACCACTCCCTCTGCCACAATGTATACACACAGGTAACAGAACAGGGTCTCCCACCCAGGCTCCTCAGAGCTGGTCAAATTTGCCCAAATATTCATGACATTGCCCTTACATGGAATCACCCAAATAAATATGTAGCATAACGACAACTTACATGACTACAGCATGTATTTTTGTAGTTTATTTGACAACAGTGCAACGAGGCTGCCATTACTGATACTAATAACAGGTTGGACTCCGATTAGCTTCAATAACACCACCTTAGAAATTCTCATGCTGTGTCTTCTTTGACCAGCAGAGAGTTTACTACTATTTCCTGGATGAGGCAGTAGTCACTTACCTTTGAATTTACGTGGAAAATGCATGTCATGCCAGTTAAGGTTTTTTTCTTTCCATGTTGCCAATAATGACATGTTATACACAATTGTTACCAGCTTGGCAGAAGCAAATAAAATAAATAAATAAATAAAAGCATCCTGACAAGCATTCTCCATTCCCTATAATCATCCCTAACTTGTTTCCTGAGAGCCTGGTTTTCATCCATCCACATTTAACTGTGCATTCAAATGAAGAGCATCTTCACAGAGAAACCAGGTACATCTTTCACATGAGTACAGCTAGTTGGGTACAAGTTCCTGTCCAGATACACCAATTCCATCTTTTTTTTTATGCTTCTGTGGTAGCATTGCGTGGAGTACAGATTAATGTGCAAAGTGTTTACTGGTAGGGTTAGAAATAATAGTTCTGTGACTGAGTTATGCTCCCTGAGTCAGAAAGCTTTTTCTCTAGATATGAAGTCCATGCTATTGATGGCTTTTTCTGTTTGTTCCTTCCCTCTGCCACCTATTTTGTTTATTCTGTTTTGCTTGTCTCCAACTCTAACTGGACAGATTACAAACAGAAAACATGGATCGCACATCCATTAATATCTCCAATTCCAGCTCTGCCAGCTTTACTCTCCCATCTGCTTCCTCTCTCAGTGTTTCAGGAGTTGATGATGAGACAGTGGATATAAGGGCAAGTAAACAGCTTTTCTCTGACTCAGTGTGATACACAATTTACATTTGTAATCCAGCAGGTTTAGAATCTTTTCTCCTTTTACAGTGAACACACAAGCACGCAAATCATCCCTCCTGTCATGCCAAGAGAATAATTTGAAATACTTTTGGTCAAAGGAGCCTTCATTTATCTTAATTGCATTAGCTAAGAGACCTGAAAGCTTAAATTCCCCATTCCATCAGCCCCTCACATACATCCCTGATTGATACTTGCATGGCTAGACGAGGCAATGGAATGAGTCAATATCTGTAAACCTATTTGTTCACATTTCGTGGTCTGAGGAAGACAAAACAGCTCATGTCACCATTAACACTAACCTGCAGAAATCCTGTCTCATCCCAGCTAGAAATACATGAGTTTGAGGCACTCGGATCCTACGCAAGACAAAAGGTCTGCAAATATCTTCTAATAACACATCTTCAGTCTGAATTAGGAGATGGTGTTTTCCCCCTCAGAACAATTGATTGCATAATATTGTCATATTTTTATAATACATTTTTAAAGGCTTCTCTGGTTGGTCAGACACTCTCATTGCAACTTTTCCAGCTCTGCTAGAAAACGTCCCGATCCAACTAAAACCAATGGAAAAACACATCCATTGACTTATCTGAGCACTTAGGCGAAGCTCCTGAATCCTCTTATTGGACCAATGACTTTAACATCTCTTCCGTGTATTGCTATCATAGCAGATGTAGACTTCTGTTCCTAATTCCAAGAGGAGTGCCACAGCCTGGCTTTGGTAGAGTTACTTTCAAAAGGCTTATGTAATTCCATTTTGATATCTGGTGTCTAAAAGGAAAAAGAGTGACAAGGAACGGACAACAATAAACACTGTTGTACACATATCACATTTCACAACCAAAATCGCTCTAAAGGTTTGGTTTAACCTACCTTAGAGATAAGGCAACTTCTTATTTAAATCTGGATGCAGGCTTCTTTTAGGCTAAGTACAGTTTGGGTCTGAGCTCAAGCTTTTACTGTTCAGTGATTTAGAGTGTGAATATAAGAAATACGGACAATGACTCAACTGATTGATTGTTAATTTCTTGCTAATAGATGGTGAGCTTTGCCGTGAATCCCTTTTTCTCCAGTGACACCAGTTTTGACATTAGTGGAACAGTGGGAGGTCTGAGTCTAACTGGTCTGGATGGCTTAATGATACCAGTCAGCAATCTCAAAGAGAACATTGAGGTAAACCTGCTATTTTCTATCCCTCTCCATCTTTGCTCATTTTCCCCTTTCCCTGTTAATGAATAGTCATTTGTGTCATCATCTTCTGTGAGATAACTGCAAATGGTGGTAGTGTTTGTAACATCATGTAACAGGATCATTGTCCCTGCATTTATGATGGAGGGATTTGTGTGATGTGACAAATGAAATAACTGATATTTCTGTTGTTACTTAAAATGGAGGTATCTTATTCTTTATTTAAATGGGTGTGAGAATGCTAATGGTTGTAGAAAAAGACTCCAGATTACAGTCATCCCAAAACACAACCTAATGCCTGATTTTCTCATCCAACAATTATGTGTTTATATTACTACTGTTAGGGCTTCTCAGCTGATGTATAAGCTGACATAGAAACCATTTGTACATGCACTTCATGTAGCCAGTCTTTCAGCCATAATCTCAGCTCTCAGCTGAGAAATGCACCACGCGTCACAGTCTTTGGGATGAGCCTACACAGGTTTGAAGTGAACTTTCCAGAGGCTAGCTGAGAGTATTGAGGAAATTACTTTGAAGCCAGTATTTTTTGCTGGCCATGCTTTCCCTAAGTTATGAAAAAAGTTTGTCTAGCATGTGGCTATATTGTGCTCACAGATAATAGAAGCAAGATGCTTTGCTGTATCTGAAGCTATGTCTTTCTGTTTAAAAATAGATAATGTTACCAAGGCTTTCAGCAACTCAGGAAGATAAGATTCTGTTGAATGTGGGCAATTTTAGCACATTCCAAGTCAATGTTACCTCAGAAAACACATCTGTAGTGATCCACCTGGAATCTGAACGTGACATTCCACTAATACTCTACTTAGGGTATGGTTATCGTCCAAATGAAACTAACTACAATATGAAAAATCATCTGTTCTGTAAGAAAACTGCTGGAGGTAAGATATTTGTTAGTGACCCATGGACACTGTGCGTTCTGGGCTCATATGCTCAAAAGACATTCGCTACCCACAGCAAGCCAGGTAAAGTCAGTATGGGGAGTGCTCATCCACAACTTAACAGCACATGCATATATTTGCAGAATGAACCTTGATTGTGAGTTCAGGCATCTAACTGAAAAGAAACCTGTCAAAGGAGTTTCAATCTGTGATGTGTCAGGGTTCCAGTCTCTAGCAGTGTGTTCTATTAGTTGTTCACTAACAGAAGCAGATTGGGATGCTTTGAACATGAGTTGCTAAAAATTATTTCGTATCTGTTTCTTCAGTTTGTTTATTTGATTATATGCAATACAGCTGCATACTGCTTCTTAGCATTTTTATAAATACATTGAAACTAAAATATTTATGTTCAAGGTGAGACAAATGCCTGGGTTCTTAGCCCAGAAGAACTAATTTTTGGAGAGGGAACCTACTACTTCATGGTTTTACAAGATCTGGGAGTGGATTCCACAGCCTATGACAGGCTAACTATAGCTGTCACTTGCTTTGCATCCCGCTGTGTATTTTGGGATGAACACCAGGGGAACTGGAACAGCTATGGATGTCATGTAAGTAGAGCGAAACAAAACAATCTTTATATTATATTCAAAGCCAGCCATTATAACCACCAGTAAAATGATAACACTGAACTCACACCATAAATAAAGATCATTCTGAGATGTTTTAATAAACTGAAGAAGTTTAGTCATACTGGACTAAGTTTCAAATGACATTTCCATTTCAATTTCTTGGGATGGGCTTTTATATAAGAAGAAATAGAACCATTCTGACAGGGTTGTATTATATTATAATGCCTGCTTCTGGCTAGACATTAGAACTAATATTCCTTATTGGAATTCAACCAATTCCTTTCTGTATAGCAGTTCTCCACACTAACTTACCAATCTCAGCACTGCCTTTTCTTTTGCTTGGTAAGTTATCTAATACTTTGAAGCCAAACATTTTATCAGGATTTTTTTCTGGTTTTTAGGTAGGACCAAAAACAAATCCTAGAAGCACACAGTGCCTCTGCAACCATCTGACTTTCTTCGGGAGCTCCTTTTTCGTCATACCCAATGCCATAGATGTTAGCAAAACTGCACAGCTTTTTGGTACATTTGTGGACAACCCTGTGGTGGTGACAACTGTAGGATGCGTACTTCTGATGTACGTGCTTGTAGTTATTTGGGCTAGAAGGAAAGACATCCAGGATGATGCCAAAGTAAGTCTTCAGCTAATAAAGACTAAATGTATTTAGGCCAATTCCCACTTTGTCTAGCCTGTTTTAATAGGAAGTCTTCAATGAGTCCTGCTCCCTTCCCTATAATTCTGTTTACTAGTAAGTACACGCATTGTTCACAAGATGACAAACTCCTATGCACAGCTTTAAGGAATCCATACTTACAGAAGAGCTAACACACCGCTCGTATTGTGTCACACTGCAGGTGAAAATCACAGTACTGGAAGACAACGACCCCTTTGCTCAGTATCGTTATCTTGTGACAGTTTTTACAGGACACCGCCGTGGGGCAGCCACAACCTCCAAGGTATCGGTGGCACTGTGTGTGGTAAGACAGTTTAGGCACTCATTTAGAGAACTGGATGAATAATGGAGAACCTGAGGCTGTTAAACAGGACAGCTCAAATGGAATGTCTAATCCAGAAAACCCTTAGATTTGATGAAAACAGGAAGGGCATGCCAGAGGAATAATCATACACAGAATCCAGCTGTGCAAGTCCTCATTTTGCCATCTTATTATCCAGGTGACTCTTACCCTCTATGGACTGGAAGGAGAGAGTGAGCCACACCATCTAACTGATCCTGATACACCAGTCTTTGAACGTGGAGGAGTGGATGTTTTCCTGCTCTGTACCTTCTTCCCTCTTGGGGAACTAGAGAGTATTAGACTGTGGCATGATAATTCAGGGGACAGTCCATCCTGGTAAGTGGAGACCTGGAGATCTTGGTAAGTAAAGATCCACAAGTAATTTTTTATAATGACAACAGTTTCCTTCTTTAGCACTTGATAATTATAATTTCTACAGTTCTAGAAAGGAAAGAAGTGTTAGTTTCTCATTTTTGGAGATGAACAAATCAAACCATAATCTAAACTGCAGGACCAGGAGTGCTTTCCATATCCTGGGTCCAAACAGGATGGGATGTGTTCTGTGCCTTACAGTTTAGACACAACCTAAGAAGCCGAAGACTAGAATTTGTCCTCCACAGTCCTGTTGAGTTCTGAATTTCACACCACTCAGTTACAGGTGAATGTGCCCTGTATGTTTCTTCCAACAGGTACGTGAATCGAGTATTGGTCCATGATCTGGCATGCGATCAGAAATGGTACTTCCTCTGTAACTCTTGGCTAGCTGTTGATATTGGAGAATGTGTCCTAGATAAAGTGTTCCCAGTGGCTACAGAACAGGACATGAAACAGTTCAGGTACCTTTTATTTTATGTACTTTTTCTTAACTCTTGATAGCAATCAGTCTAGAAAAGCAAGTATGCAAAAAAGATCACACTCTAGACAAAAATGAAAACAAGGGAGGTCTTTCCTTTGGCCTCAAAGGGCTCTGGACAAGGAAAGAGGAAGTATGGTTAAGTAAGACTAATTGTTACCCTAACAGTAATACCACACAGGAAATACTGGTGTTAAAAGATAATCTGACAAGACCTACAGAAACACATCTTCTCTTATACATAGTTTCCCTAACAATTTATATAAAACTGCTCATGATTAGCTTATCCTCCACAGTGAGGCCAGAAGGAAAGGACATAAGTAGCTATGACCATTCGACAAAAATTAAGTCATGATATTTGGTAATTTCTCATAGTTATTATTTCTTCTAATAGTGTCTAGAAGCATGAACAGGTCAGGACCCTGAACTAGTGCATTATTCTTCCTCCTCCTTTCTAAGTATCCATTTGATTTCCCTCTCCTCCTTCCCAGCAATCTGTTTTTCATGAAGACCTCCAAGGGTTTCCAGGACGGGCACATCTGGTACTCAGTTTTCAGCCGCTCCCCACGCAGCTCCTTCACACGGGCCCAGCGTGTGTCATGTTGCTTCTCACTGCTACTCTGCACCATGCTGACCAGCATCATGTTCTGGGGAGTGCCAAAGGACCCAGCTGAGCAGAAAATGGATTTGGGTAACAACCCTCAGCATTGTTTGGGCAGGGAAATAAAGGCAGCAGAATCCGGAGGCAGGACAGTTGTACAGACGGGTCCTGGCATAACTTTTACTCCTTCCCTCTGTTTGATCTTGACAGGAAAGATCGAGTTCACATGGCAGGAAGTGATGATTGGCTTTGAGAGCTCCCTCCTCATGTTCCCCATCAACCTGCTCATTGTGCAGATCTTCAGGAACGTACGACCCCGGCCAGCCATGCAGGGAAGAGAGAAAAAGCTGGGAAAGAATGGACGGGTGTCCCCAAGCCTACCTCCCACCCCACAGGTCAACCCGGCTGGCTGGCTCACTCCAGAGGCTGTGATGAAGGCAAGTCCTTGTGGCTGCTCCCCACAGAGTCCTGCACTGCCCTCTGGTGCCCTGCACCACCCGACATCCCCAGTTTAACAGCAGAAATCTTCCATCAGATGCCCTTCAGCTTGTCTGAAGCGAAAAGCCAATCATGCACTGGTGGTGCAAAGCCCTTATTTACCCATCCACATGAACTCCCCGGCTTCATTAAGATCTGCCTATTCACATTCCAGCCCTGACACAATTATTATGTGCAATCAACATCACTGTATTCAGGGGTTAAAGCAAACATTAAGCAAGACAGTGGAGAAAAAAGGTATCAGAGATCCCATCTTTCTCATCTTAGGTCCTCAGGCAGGTAAGCTGTATTTTTGAATGCTGTCTTGCTGTACTCATTGAACTCTGCCTGTCACATCCAGCTCTGTAGGGCTGCTATCCCTATCCATTCCAGAGATTTGAGCAATTGGTGGAGCTCCCAGCCAGCAGTGCCTTCAGATCACATCAGTTTAAGTCACTGCAGCCAGACTTACTGCTGTGTTGCTGCTGTCTTTTCTAGGACATAAGAAGAATTGCCAACTCACTCTGTAAAGCCCTGAAGGCTCCATCTCTCACTTCAGTATCAGATCTTGGAAAATCAACTAACATCAACACACTTTTGGCATTGGTTGAGGACATCATCTGCCAGCAGAACAGAGCTAGGCAAGAGTTTTATGATGAGAGCAAGAAGGATGACCCTATAATTGTCACATTAGGTGCTATGGATGTACAAGGTAATCAACACAATGTGAAATGCCTGCTGAAACCTTTGTAGTGAAAATGATGGTAATGCTGGATGTCATGACCCAAGTTCTTCTTACATTCTGACTCAAAGGCAAATACAGAATCAAAGAATAGCTGACGTTGGAAGGGATCTCTGGAGATTGTTAAGTCCACTGCCCTGCTCAGAGCAGGGTCAGCTGGAGAAGGTTGCCCAGTCAGATGTTTAATATCTCCAAGGACGGTGGCTTCATAAATTCCTTGAGCAACCTACTCCAGTGTCCAAGAGCCCTCACAATATGGAAGTTTTTCCTTATGTTCAGACAGATTTTCTCAAGTTTTGAGTTGTGCTCATTGTCCTTGTCCTTTCACTGTGCACCACTGAGTGCCCAACTGAGTAGATGCTAAAATCTCTGTTCCTATGCTGTAGAATTACACGTTAGCTGCCAGTTTGTCTTGGGAGCAGGATCAGAATCTAATAGCATAAAGACTCACAAATATCATTTGTTTCACAGTCTTTTTGTCCTATCCTTTTTTTTTCTTGTCCTTGTGCTGTTGTTCCTTTCAGTCTGACTGTCAACTTATGCGTTCATTTATTTACAACTAAACAAGAATATGTGAGTCAACAATCCCACTGATTTCATTAAGACTCATATTTGGCTTTTCCAATGAGCATAACAAGCTACTGATTGAATGGGTGAACTATGAACAAATTAACACTTGATCTTATCTGATTTCTCTGTTAAGGTGTAGGATCTCTGTCTAACTAAGTTGCCTTCTGGCAATGCTTCCAGCCCATTCCAGCAGAAAAGAATTAAGGTCTAGTACTAAAGCTGCTTTTACATGTTACTTCAAACATTACTCTTCACTTTGTTACATTTATAATCTTGAGCTCCAATTCTGCTACTCTTTGTACTGAACAGTTATTTTAATCTAGGAATAGCTATGCTGATTTTCTTTTAAAATAAAGAAATAATTCTTGGCCTGCAGAGAAAACAAGAAGCCGAACTCCAGAGAAGGGAATGTGTGAGCAACTGAAATCCAGTGGTTACAGCCACTGCTTGTACATGCAACTCCAGCATGTAGAGATGGAGCTGGAATTACTGGGGGCCCATAAATTTCAGATGCCTCAGAGTTACACACAAGCTGTTCATCAGGTTCAGCACATGAAGAACCTCCTGGAGAGCCAGATCTGCTCATCAGCATCCATCAGTGAGAGGTAACCTAGTTCTTATCTCGTTCTTGGAATAAGTAAAGTCAGGTTGTAAATTCAAAAGGATGATGGAGCCCAAATAATTTCTCCTTAGTATGTGCTAGATAACCATTTTTATAGCTGTAGAAACATGTTTTACTATTATACTATTGTAGGAGCAACAAAGAGATGTCGATGCACTGTGTACTGCACACAAAGCAATAATGACACATTTTTCCTCCAAAATGGAATGTTAAAATACAACGCCACATGATACTAAAGGGCTGGGATAGGGTTAGGATTAGGGTTAGGGATATTCAGTAAGCTCCAAAGTCTCAGTAGTCTCTTAAAATGTCTGGATAAAGACAAATTAATAAGTCTAAATTAATAAGTAGACCAAAGTATTTCAGTGAAATACAGTAATTAAGCTGAAAGTATTGAAAACAATAGCACTAAATATATCTCTGGTTGTTAGATGGTGATCACAAGAGACTTTTGCTTCTTTTCCACTGCAAACTTATTTTTTCTCTTCTGGTTGACTCTCAAGGTTGTCCCTTACTCCAAGCTCCTCCAGTGATGGCAAGAAAAGTTCTTCTTCCAAAGGGCTGCCCTGGTGGTTTGTGTTCATTGCTTGGTTCCTTGTTGCAGCCACCAGTGGTGTATCTGGGTTCTTTACCATGCTCTATGGGCTGCATTATGGCAAGGAGAACTCCATCAAATGGCTGATCTCCATGGCCATCTCCTTCTTGGAAAGTCTTTTCATCACACAGCCCTTAAAGGTGAGTTCCTCAGAAACAAAACCATTGGCCATTCTATCTATCTTTCAGGAAGACAAGTGTTCTAAAGAACCACAGGATTTAACATGTAAAATGAGAAGTCTTTGCCCTTAAAACAAGAGCTAGCAGAGGGGTTAGAGGGGTCTGTTGTTTTTTGCTGATATTAATTCCATTAGTTTCATCTCCCTTGTTTTGTCAGAGTTTAAAAGGCAATGAGGTTTCTGATGAGGGACAATCTCTAATACGGCAAAGTCAGTTTAGCTGATGGACCCCAGCACTGTGCACTGTTCTCTGGCTTATCAGCTTCAACTGCGTGAGTTTAACAAAGCCAAAGAACAACACAATTGTTCTCCTGCAGTGTCTGGATCCAAAGGGATCCAGGTCAAAGACTGAGCTTCTTCATATGAAATGGGCATATGTTGAGTCTATAGCCAATTCTTTCCAGGTGCTGGGATTTGCTGCTTTCTTTGCTCTGGTTCTGAAGAAGGTGGAACATGAGGATGAAGAAAACACAGCTATTGATGGGCCTTTAGCTGCACCAGGTAACTGCTTATAAACTGAGAAATTACTAAAGGGAGTGTTCAGCAAGCTTTTGGGATACTTTATGCACAAATATGTGACTTGGTTCAACTGAGAACTACACCATTTGTCTTTATATACCTCAATCTTATCTGACAAGGTCAGCAGAAATCACTAAATCCACAGGAGTTGTGATTTTTATATGCCTACCTATTAGCGTTCCCAAGATCAACACGGAAGTGGAGACAAACCTAAATAACTAGTTTTGTGTCAGTTGAAGAACATACAAAGAACATATCCATACCATTGTATGCTGGATAAATCTTGCAGAACACTTAATGGAAGAGACCACAAGGTGAAAAAGATATAAGAAAAGAAGTTCTGGATCAAAAGAATAATATCTCCTTGTTTATCCTTTTACTGCTGCAAATGCATATATACATGCACAATCTCTCCTCGCCCTGTTGTGAGATTGCCCCTGTTAGTAGAGGACATACTTGCTGCTAGGATATCCAGCTCCTTCCTTCCCTACATCCCTGGCTTGCCTATGTCCAGAAAAAAATATTCTCCTATATTGATTCATACTAGATCAAGAATTGTAAAAGAGGATAGTAAATCACTTTTCAGTCCATCAATGTTCAAGTAACATCTAGAAAAGAAAATAATAAAATGTGACAAACTGACTGAAGCTATTATAATAAAATGAATGAATCAGTGCTATTAGTATGCAGTCACCATGCGTAAATATTTTAGCTCTCACATCAGATGTAAGAAAAATCAGATATACAAGGAGGCTTGTTTTAGTTCTGTACAGACATCTCAGTATTCATGGCATGGCTTGCAACAGAACCTGTAACTATTCCACAACCTAGTGAAAATAAACACATGATGCAGCACAAAATACACTCTTCAGATAGACTGGTAGATCTTTTTCTGGCAAGCATATCCAAAACTTCCTCTCAGGGATATTTCCCACCTCCTATAAGTCTTTTATGAAAGTTCTCAGTTTACATACTTTTCCACACGCACAACTATCTGTATTACTCCATTAAACTGAACAGTGGCTTCTCAATCATGTTTAAAAAAGCTGTCTCCAGCAGACAGGAGTCCTAGGGCACAGCAAAGAATCCTCACACATAGCTTCCTCCCTGATCAGCCTCAGGCTCTGAGCACATCACCTTCGGGGATGCTCAGCCTAGAAAGAGACTGGACTACACCTGGTCCTAAAGCTAACACACTGTGTTTGTGAGCTTCTTCCCTCGTGACTGTTTGCCTTACTATACTGTTTAAATCACATTCCCCGTCTTCATACGGGAATGTGTTAAATAGGAATGTTAACTTATAATGTTTAAAGAAGCAAAAAGCGGGACATAGACAGTCTGTTGACTAATTCCAGGGTTACTGCTCTCATTCACAGGGGATTCACACCCTCTCTTTGGAGCCCGACGGGACAGCAGAAGCAATATTTACCTGCCACCTCCTGTGGCTGATGTGGAGAAAATGAAAATCAGCTGCATGAAGGAGCAGAAAGCATTTGCCCTCATCAGAGAAATTCTAGGTATTAACCATATGTAGATGATCTTACTTTATTCATTGGTATTTTTACATCAGTGAAAATATTGTTCTCTTGGGTGAAAAAGTTTTGGCGTATCTTTAGCTTTCTTCCAGCCATTACAGTGTAGAGACAGGCTGTTCAGTGGTAACTGGAGCTGAAGGGAGGTGGGAATATTAGCTGGAGATGAAAGTGTGGCTAAGACTTGATTTTATGGTAAAGAAACACATTACATGTGAGGTTACAGAAGAGTTAGAAAGAGTAGAATGAGGAGGTCAACATTAAAAGAAGTTGAGATAAAAAAAACCCAGACAAAGGCCATCTTTCTAAAAGCAGATAGTACCCATAGATAATGATTATATTCCAGTTTTAGTTTCTCTAAAAACAATGGAAAAAAATACCTCAACCTTACTTGGCATAAACTTAGACTACTTGTGTTATTTAGAGCTGCCATTCCAAATGTGATATGCTTAAACTGAGTACGTTGAAGTACCTTATGTAAATTCATTATCACTGGTCAGCTAGAATCTAACAAAGCATCTCCTTAATCTAGTAAGTGATGACAGCAGTAACCATTCATGCAACCTATTCTGAACAGCAGTGTTAATTCTGAGCTCACGTGTATTGTCTCTTCTTGTCTTTTTTCCAGCCTATCTGGGGTTTTTATGGATGCTGTTACTGGTTGCCTATGGGCAAAGAGATCCCAATTCCTACTACTTAAACAAACACATTGAGAACAGCTTTACAGATGGATTCCATGATGTCTACAGTTATCAGGATTTTTTCACATGGGCAAACACTACCTTGGTCAAAAATCTTTATGGATCATATAAAGGTGCAGAGTCACATTGCTTCACTTCAGCTTGCCAGATTCTGAAATACTGCCTTTTATACATACCCCTAGCTTTCACATGCATATTAGACTGCAGAAAGAGACTGAGGCTAGTATGGATTCTTACAATTATGAATACTCATGGATTACAAAAACCCTACAGCTTGATGCCATGTTTAATGTGCTCTGATATTTTCCTTACATTTAATATAAACCAAAATAAAAAATTCTTCCCATAATTCAAAAAAAAAGAATGGCAGATGGGTGGCCTTATAAAGCTTTTCCTCAGGGGAGCTCTGTTCGCATCATGACTTAGGTCACTGTGAAGGCTAATTTTGCAATACCCCTGTGTTTCTCTAGGCATATCCAGTTACAAATATGACCCATTTTCCAGCTCATATATAAGAGTAAATATTGAAATACATTAGCAGAGCTGGTTTTGGACATGACAGGCACTGACCAACTATGGCCAAACGAACACTGTATACTGCTACTCTGCTGTGTGACTCGAAGCAAGTCCCTTTTCTCCTCCAGGCCTCACTTTCCTTCTGTATAAAATACAGATATGTAGTGATACTGACTTCTGTTACATATGGATGTAATCTAAGAACTCAGTTCAAATTAACACAAGGGCTTAATTTTCATTACTTACAGTACACTTGTTTACAGTGTTTTTCAGCAAAGAATCTATAGCAAAATATTAATGCATCAGTGAATCATGAATGAAATTAAGAAATATTAGTAATTGTGTCATATTGCCAGTGCTGCTCTTTTCCATCTCCTGTTTAGGATTCATTACAGATGGCAATTCCAAGCTGGTGGGTAGCGCTCGAATTCGCCAAGTAAGAGTGAAAGGAGACACCTGCCCTATCTCTCCCAAACTCCAGCATGTAATTCAGGAATGCCATGCTCCATATTCCATACAAACAGAAGATACATCAGTTTATGGGGAGCGCTGGAACGCTTCAGTTTTTGATAACTCCTCTGACTTGAGCTCAGCGTGGCATTATCAGAGTCAGTCCAAACTGAGAGGGCAGCCCACCTGGGGCAAACTTGCCATCTACAGGGGAGGGGGATACGTGATTCACCTGGGAACTGATCCTAAGAATGCTTCCAGGTACCACTTGTATTCCTGTAAATTAGTGTATCTGCTGTGGCATCAGTGATGTTCTTTACCCTATTCAAGATTCATTTCAGATTGCATCCTGAGTTTTCCTGCTGTGCATTGTGCTGAATATTGTAGATATTACTGTGGTGCCATCATTGTGGTTTATGTTTCTGTCATCTTGTTCCATGCTAGGTAACAACCAGGATCCCAAATCAGAACCTTTTCCGCCTAACTTGTATGAGTTAAATGATCAGACGCCCAAGGCATCTCAGGTTTAGCACTGGCCAATATCTGGTACCTGCTTCTCCAGAAGAGCCAAAAAGAAACCTATACTAATAGTACAAATATCCCCTATATCCAGACTTGACAGACCAGATGTCCCCTTGAACATCTTACCTCTATTTTACTCTTTCTCTCTGCAAACATACAAAACCCCCTATCTTCCATGTAATACTATACATTTTTCCGCAGAATTCTCCAGTACCTTTTCAACAACATCTGGCTAGACACCTTCACAAGAGCAGTGTTTGTTGAATTTACAGTCTACAATGCCAATGTGAACCTGTTCTGCATTGTAAGCCTGATGTTTGAAACCAATGCTTTAGGTGAGAACCTTTTCTAAGTTACACACTTCTGAAGACAGCAAGCAATGCGCCTACAGAGAATAGATTTACATGCTGTCAGTGTTTACCTACTTCTTTATTCAGTAAACAGAAGTGTTTTAATAAGTCTACTCATATCGGAATCAATACAAAATTTATAAGCCACTTAGGAAAATGTAGCATCACCTTAATACAGACCATAATGGAATATCTTACATTTCTTATGCTGCTGTCATCGTCTGATGAAGAAAACGTACTGAAATTTTGTTTCCAAAATTAACACAAGGAACAAGAAAAATCATGCTTACGAATCATTTCAGCTAATCAATACAAGATTAAGACAAAAAGTACAAATAACAGTTTGTCCTTTTTGTTCCAGAAGTCTTCTAATATATAGCTGTGTAATCATGTAATACATAACCTGGATACAACAAAGGAAATAGTGAAACTAGATTCTGGTTTGAAGGCCAAGCAAGACATTTAATCTGAGCAGTAGCCTGTTCCAGTATTGGAAAATGCCCAAACCAGACCACAAATCTGAGCCCATTTTCTTTTGAGAATGAGATTCAGATTTACATCTCCAGTTTCTCCTCACTTCTGCATTTGTAGTACAATCCAAACTCAGCCCTCCTGGGACTGGTGTCATACAAGAGAGAAACAGCACTCTAAAAGCTATCGACTGAAATTCTTATTTGAGGTAAATTTCAAAGAGCACTTACAAGGCTACTCACATCATCAAGACTGAATCTTAGTTTGGTGGTTGGATTCAGACTCACATTGATGTGAATGTAAACGCAAAAGTCTTACTGATGAACTGAGCTGTCTGAATGAAACCAGAAAGATGTAATTAACAGAGCACCAAGGTGAACATTGCTTGTTTTTTAGGGGCCTTCTTCACAAGCGCAGAGCTGCAAAGTGTCCGGCTTTACCCATACACCAACAGTCTCCACATCTTTGTTGTTGCGGCAGAAGTAATTTATTTCCTCTTTATTGTGTACTACATGATCGTACAGGTGAGGCCAAATAGACAGGTCAGCTGACAGCACCATCTCATGTCTGGTTTTGATTTCACTTATAAAAACTTTAAGATTGTACTTGATTTCAGGAGTGCTGCTGCTGACCTGCTTCAGTGGAAGTGAAGTCTTGACTTCAGTGGAAGATTGAATCATACACTGTATCTGTATTAAATAATAGGAAGGCAACACTATTTGGATGGAATGGTTCTTTTGAGAAAGAGAACGAAAAAATAGTGCAAAATGTAGCTTTAGTGAAGTGCTTTATCGCAGAGGGGATAGACCTGCAGAGATGTCTTGGATGATACAGAGGCACAAAACTCAAATAGTAAACGTGTTCTTTTCACAGGGAAAACTGATGAAGACTCAGAGATGGAAATACTACCAGAGCAAGTGGAATCTGCTGGAGATGGCCATCATACTGATTAGCTGGAGTGCTCTGTCAGTATTTGTGAAGCGGACAATCCTTGGGACCCGAGACATCAGCTACTACCAGGAACACAAAGAGGAGTAAGTACTAAGGCTATCTAGTGCAACCTTTGTTGGTGCTACTTATGTAGAAGCAAGTCTCTTTTTCCTCTTCCCAGACAGCAGCTTGTCTTTGCTAGGTAATGCTACCCCATATGGCTGTATTCATGAAGCATGTCAGTATTTCTGGGCTTAAATGCGTGTCAGCAACAGGAGTTTCTTCTGATACTGCTCTAATAAAATCCAGCAGACTTGAGCACCAAGTTCCTTAGCTTAGCTGCTAGTTCCCTACCTATCTGCATCGCCCTCTTCTGAACCAACAATTGCTTAGAAGGCAGTAACATCTGTTAAAAAATGGTCACCACAGGAAATAGATGACAGAATCACAGGATAATTTAGGAAGGATATGACCTCTGTGGGTCATTGCTCCAACTCGCTTCTGTGGTGTTAGATCAGGTTGCTCAAGGCCTTGTTTGGTTGAACTTTGGGTATGTCCAAGGACAGAGATTCCACAGCCTCCTTGAACTCCCGTTCCAGTGCTGAACCACTCTCACCATGGGGGAAAAAAAACCCACAAACATGTTTTTTTCTCATGTCCAGCTGGAATTCCTCTTGCTGCAGCTTGTGGCTGTTGTCTCTTGTCTTTTCATTGTGCATCCTCTTTATAACCACTGACTATATAAGTTAGAGACGGCTGACTGCAGTCAGAGGCCTTAGCTTTCTTTCCTCCAGGCTGAACAAGCCCAGCTCCCACATCCTTCTCTTGTGTGTCCTGCACCCTGACTCCCAACCATGCCGGTGGCACTCCACTGGACTCAATGTCCTCCTTGCACTGGGGAGCCCAAAACTGGACTCAATATTCCATATGCAGCCTCACAAGCACTGAATGAAAGAACAAACACTTCCCTTAACTGCTGCGTTCTTGCCAGTGATTATATGGGTATAGGTCATGTCCTGTATTAGCGTACAGCCTTTATAAAAGCTTTTTGTGGTCACCTCTGTTGTAAATAAAATTGTAAGCAAAATGTGCTACCTTTATGAAGGTCACATAAGTATTACCAAGCTTTTTTTCAGCTAACACTAAGACTTGACTTGCCTCAGTCACAGATCACAGTTCTGCTCTCCAGTCTTTTACTTCTTACCTTACAGTACCTTCTCACACAACTGGTTGGAAATTGGCTAATCCTGTCACAGCTAGTGCATCCTGCTAGCTGCACAGCACCATCCTCTCAACTATACATGCACAGAAGAACCTATCTTTCTGAAAGTCAGAATTTTTATAGTAAGCTTGCATTAGCTGGCTTTAAACTGTGACTTGCTAAAAATGAGCAGTACTAAAAATGAGCCTAAGCACTTTCTCAGCTCTGGCTAACACTGATAAAAAACTCTGCCATGTATAACAGCTTTTTGTGTGTACACAGCAGGAAGTACAGATGGGAACACTGAAGCAGGAACTCAAGTTAGCTCTCCACTGGAAACCAGGACAGAGTGACTGGATTTTCCGGCATACTCATTCATGCACTTAAAGGCTTCTGTGTGCACAGTCTACTACATCTTTTCTTTTTTCTACCAGCTGCGTAAGCTTCAATGAAACAGCAAGAGCCGATGCAATTCTTGGCTACCTGATTGCATTCCTAGTGCTTCTCTCCACAGTGAAACTGTGGCATCTCCTGAGGCTCAACCCTAAGCTAAACATGATCACTTCAACTCTAAGGAGGGCATGGGGTGATATCTCTGGATTCATCACTGTTATTGCAATCATGTTCCTCGCCTATTCCATTGCTGTGAGTACCACTGTGGTTTCTGTTGTTTGCAGTTTGCATCCATGTGCTGTCAAGTAAAACTAATTATTTCTTAATTGTGAAAGCAACATAGCTTTGAAATTTAAAACTGAAAAAAGCTGCCTATCTACATCTTAGATTAGCAGCTTGGAGCCCAATTCTTTAGTACACAAACCAAACACTGAGATGAAAAAATGGATTATCTGTGTGTAATAGGTGTGACAAAAAAGAAAGTACAGGAAAAATTTTCTGGATAAAGCTTAAACTGGGGAGAGTGCAGCAAATGCCATTTTCTGTCTGGCTAGTTTTTAAGTGGGAAATAATTATTTTTCTGCCTGTTTCAGGAATACTTATTATGCAAATAAAAATATATTTTAATTCTAACAAGATTAAAGAATTATTGGACTGCAGCTGTTTATGTATATTTACTGGTTTTAGCTGAAATGTTTTGCGTAAATGTTCTGGCAGAGTGACGGGAGAAATTCAGCACATCTCAATTGCAAAATCCCTGGAAATGTGGAAATCCTCTGACCCAAACCCAAACTGTCCTGTAAAGGGCATTCCTGTGACAAATGGGACCTGCTGCAGCCTCACGCTGCCTGACTTCACATTCCTCATATGTCCCTCCAGCACTGACACTTTAGCAGCTGAATAGCTTTAGGCACTGGTGTGGCCACAGGTGAAGTAAGTGATCAGATCAGTTCCACGGCAAAGCCTGTTGTCACATCATGCAAGTGATGGAGCTGTGAAAGAAAGAGGCAAAGGGATGGAGAAATGGTGAGATTGCATCAGCCTCCATTTAGATCAGACACAACAGGCCCACAAATTTAGAAAACAGCACCTTGATTACTGAGCAAACAAGGAGGTTGCCTATTTGGAAGGATCTATGCACTGAAAGGCAAGTGTTCATGACTACGATTAATTTGGTCAATCATGCAGGGATAAGTCTGCTCCATGGAGGTGGGCTAAAACATGACATGTTTTGTCATGTATTTGCATATTTTTTACATATCTAGTGGCTGAGCAGATACAAGACATTCTCATATCCATGATAAAAGGTCTTACAGCTAAACATATTCAGGATGTGTAAACACAGTTCTTAGTTCTAGATTAGCCTTTTTCTGTGACCTTATCTGGTGTTTCACCCGTTTGTAAACAAACAAAAAACCCCAAACCACAAAAAAAGCTTCATGGCTCTGATGACAAGCTGGGAGGGCTTTCTCTGCATACAGCAATCATTAGCTGATTTTGCAGCAAGGACTCTGACTGTGACACAAGATATGCCTTCTTCCCTCTGCAGACAAACTTAATATTTGGCTGGAAGCTCTCCTCTTACAAAACTCTCTTTGATTCAGCAGAGACCATGGTCAGTCTTCAGCTGGGAATCTTCAACTATGAGGAGGTATCACCTCTAATTTTCAAAGTTTATCACTGTATAATTGGCATCTCAGCTATCAAATATGCTTTGACCCAGCAAATAGAAAGACTTTCAGTCAGTGCTAGAAATTAATCTAATTTTGGAAGCTCCACAGCTTCCTAAAGCAGACACTTTATCTCATCAAGAAAAAGACCCCAAGTGAAATACATCTCACATCCCATTCTGACCATCGGTCTCAGGCTCAGAATGATCAGACTCAGAACAAACCTTGCAGTGAGAAAAGTGCTCACATTTTAACTAGATATGTTACTTATTGATTACAGAGCTTTTAAGCAACTTCCTTAGAAAGCTACAGACAGAAATGAACACACACCCATCAGCTTCCTCAGAAAGGCAAAGCCTTCCACAAGGCAACTTTACATTACGTTTGTTTTTATTATTCTTGAACTTTTCATTCAGTTCTTTCAAATACTACAATATCCTTCGAACAGCTCTTTGTGGATTAAGCCAGTTCACAGACATGTCTGACTCCGAAGTAATCCTTGGTAGATGTTTTTGTGTCACAGATAGAACAAGGTATGGGTAGCTCTGAAGATCAGTAATCAGAGAGAGTTTTTCACATGTTCATCCCACTGATGTTGTTAATAGAATCACAGAATCATAGAATAGAATAGAATCATAGACAAAATATATTCCTAGGATATAGCTTACATGAGAATTGTAGGTTTTTATTTTCAGACAACCCTTAGTTTATGTCTGTGACAGTCTGACTGGGCTTCTTTGTAAAGGATATAATAAAATAAAAGCATGCAGAGATTTCATCTATACTTTGAAAGCTGAGGCATGATGGAGCTGTTCTATGCATAAACAGGTCTCCAGGCTTGTCAATGTTCATGTGAAATTTTCATACCATTACAATCAAATCCAAATACCTTAAAAAACCCCAAAGACTACCCATATTCATATATCATAGATACAAAATTTTCTATCATCTTTGTACTATATCAACATATGAAAGTGACTAGAAAATGTATATACGTTATATAACATAATTTATTAGCCACAAAGATTTTCAAAGAGACAAACTCCTTACTGTGTCTTAACTGCTTGTATGTATGCTTTTTTGTTTATTTTTACAATCAAAATATGACGTCTTACATTATGAATACTACAGGTCTTGGACTACAATCCAGTTTTAGGCTCCTTCTTAATTGGATCCTGCATAATTTTCATGACATTTGTGGTATTGAATCTGTTCATTTCGGTGATTCTGGTTGCTTTCAGTGAGGAGCAGAAGCACTACCAGGTATGTTCATCTATGCTCTTCCTTTGTGTTTAACAATTCTTGCACAGTGCTTACTCATGATTTAGGTGTTCCACCATCTGATGAAACCCATGTAAACTCAGCCGAACTCTTAAGAAGTTACTCATTTACTCATAAAGCACACTTCGGATTTTCCAGATTTATGCTGTCCATTCCTGTTCAGACAAATCCCTGTTCAGATTCAGCACAAGATCTGATTTGTTCACTTACTAAATCCAGCAAAAGTCTTAAGACTTGCGCCTGGCCCCATTGAAATCAGTGCCAAAACACACATCAAAGTCCATGAGGACTTTACAGCTCCTTTAAAAATGTCTCTGTGAGTGCCTGACCCATGCAAGCTATTGGCAGCACGGTGTGAAATCCAGTTTAGCACTCCAGTACTGTCCAAAATTCCTCTATGTTTTAAATAAAGTCAAGGGAGATGAAAACAACGTATATGGTCAATAAAAAACAAGATATATTTAGTTTTTCTCATTTACTTTATCTAGAAATGGAGGGTGGCTCATCGTATGTATGTACCACCAGCTGCATGGTAGCCGGCAAGGGAGCTCCGGGCTCCTGTAACCACACTTCCATGGGCTTTGACAGAGCCCAAACTTCCACACCCATGTTCACAGAATCATAGAACAGGAGGATGGAAGGGACCTCAAGGATCATCTGGTCCATCTGTGACTTTTGTCTTGATAGAAATATTGGCATGATGTTTCGCTTTGGCAGTTCCTCATTGTCATGGTGTTACTCCTGCTCCTCTTTGAGTGAAAGCTGGTTTATCTCACCTCAAATAGTGATTTGCTCTTATGACATTTTCCGGCTTCAGCAGAGCCTGTATCCACTTCTGGTCTATGCACCCAAGTAACTTATACCTTGCTGTTATTTCAGGCTTCAGAAGAAGAGGAGATTGTTGATCTAATGCTAATGAAACTTTTCAGTTTCTTCGGGATTAAATGCAAGAAGGAAGAGACGCCAGTCACAACCAACTGGAACAACCTGCCAATGATTAAATAATAACCACATCAAAAAGTCACTTTGTGAGGGTGAACGATTTACTTTTTAACTACCAGCTGCAGTGGCTTGACTTAGATTGATCTGTATAATTCGTTAAGAACTCACCAACGAAGTTTAAGTTGACAAGCAGGTATCCTTTATTGCAGCACTGGGAGACACAGGGTCTATCTCCTCCTAATGTGTGTCTCGTTTAAGCATCAAACAGACCGTGATTACATTGCTGGTTAACATACCTATAGATGTCATACATATGCATTAGTTGTCAGAGAACTGTTCTATGTAATTCCACGCCTATTTCTGCATGCGCATAACAACGTGGTAGTGGTCTTTGGTGGTCGTTTTACTTCTTCCAACAACTTTCATCACTTGGCCGCTCCTTGAACCCTTGTTCTGGAAGCCTTTGAAACATGCACAGTAGGTAAATGCTTACACCAGCTTCATTAGTGTGGTAACACCACTGACATGAGCGAGTGATTTCTCCTTGTCCTTGTACTTACCAGTTAACTTCGCTACAGCACCTCCTGAACATCTGCTGGTTTTAGACACTCTTTAGCTACAGTCCTGTTTTGGCTACAATAAATTTTGTCTGAAGGTCATAAGGTTCTAAAACTGTCAGCTACAACGATTTACCTTATACAAGGATCCTTTTTACGTTCTTTTGGTTGGGCTTTTCAGGTTTGGAAAGTTTTGTTGTTATGTACAAAGCCACCAGGCTTAAAGTTACTTAAACCCGAATATTCTTATTTACAAAGGATTACATTTCATTCTGTACTTCCCTGCCTCAATTACCATAGCTTCTGACTACAACACTGCAGTGTTCAACCAATAAACCACAATCTACATGTTATTTAGGAGCATTAGCTAAGAAATAGCGCTAAACCTAAGACAACGCGTCGTGTGCGCGCTAACTGGAGACTTGTGTTCAACAAACACTGACCGGTTGCTGCAGCCTTCAGGCTCCTCCTTCCCTCGCAGAACATGGCGGCCGCGGGGC